TCTTAATACATATCATAGATGTCAAGATTCAAGACCAGATCAAGATCACAACAAACTGGTTGTTTGATTGGTCTGATTGCTTACCGGTATCTTAGCCGTTTGGTCTAGGGTAAAAAGTAGGTTTGTTTGAAAACCGATTGAAATTAATGTTTGACAATTTTTTGGCCAGTCTAACCAACCAGTTTAACCGATTCGATAACTTAAATAAAGTTAAGTAAATTTCTTTAACACATTTTATATTAGTAAACTATCATATTTATTTTTCCTTATTTTTTAAAATCTAGTTTTTAATACAATTTATATTTAATAAATTGTTATATCTATATTTTTATTTTTTTTCTAAAGTCCAATCCAACTGGTTCAACTAGTGGTTGAATAGATTTTGATTCGAACAAATTCTTTACTGATTGTTTAATCTTAATAACACTATAGTTTTACTGTTTTCACTGACACCCTATTCTCGAAATATTTAATAGTGCGTCTCCTTATCCGGAGTCGGTATCAGAACAAAGATCTCCAAAACACTCCTAGTCTCAGTTAAACTCCCTTAAGAATTACATCAAGCTTCTGAGGTTATGTCCAGCAACAAAAATACTCTCAGTCTCAATTAAATTCCCATAGAAATTAGATCAGGTTTCAGAAGTTATATCTAACAACAAAAGGTGATAAAATGACCAAAGATCTGGAGGCACAAGAGAAGCTCCCAGTCTTCGAAATGTTTAACGCCCCCAATTATGCTGAAAATCAAGATGCAAATGGTATCGACAAGAACACCCCATGATACAATCAGATTAGGAAATTCTTTTTGAAAATCTGAGTTACACAGTCAAAAACTTGCTTACGCAACAAAAATCTTGCTCAATTTGATTACGGTCTAGCTCAGTTTGGTCGCTGTCAAATAGAGTTCGTAGACCACTTGTTCAATATTTTCTTCTTAGTACCTCTCTATTTTCTCATATACGAAACCCTTGTTTTTCTCTACTTTGAGTTCTCTGTTTTCTTCTTAATGCATCACTATTCAAATTAGAACCCTATGTTTCTCATGTCGGAAATTATCGGGTGAAATGGGGGACAAAAAAATAGTACGATTTGCAAAATTAGATCTCGAACTCTTCTTGTTTTTGAGCACACGGGAGCGCTAGAAGACGATATTTGCCCCCACTTATTGAGTACTTGATATATATAAGAAGGGTAATTCGTTATCGGGATACAGGAAAACAGAGAGGTCTTATACAATGTTCTTAAGCTCTATGCACCCGAGCTTGGAATCCACACAATAGACACCAGAGTCTTATTGTATTAGAGAAAGAAAGAGATAAAATCGAGGAGAGAGAGAGAGAGTTAGCCTACTGGTGTGCTTGCTGGAATTGCAAAGAATTGCATGTTGAGGGGATCTAAAATGAGCTCCAAAAAACTCCAACTCATATGGGTAGGAGCGCCCTTGGTATAGAGCACGAAGAAGTGTTACAAACCTCCCTCGCCCTCGTACCAAGAGGTGTCACAAACCTCCCTCGTCCTCGCACACGCGCATGTGCGTTGCACGCATCGCATGCTCTACCCATGTACATTCTCTCTCTTTTGTATTTAGAATATATTATATCGGAATGCATGCTCTTAAATACAGCTCAAAAATCTCTCGCTTCTTCAATGACTCAAACCCACATCTTCTTTTCTCTATAAAGGCATTTTAGGAAAGTACAAAGTGTTAGTTTTGAAATGCACTTCGGGCTAGTTTGGATGTCAAATAAACAAATATTAACAGCAAAAAAAATGCAAGTTTTTTTCACCCCAATTGAAAAACAATTTCGTCTTATTTTATTATGTTGGTAACCTGTTTGGATGTCTAATTTCACCGATTTTTCAAAAAACCCTCTACCCCATCTTTGGTTGCCATCTTCTGAAATCCTAATCTGAGAATGCTTTCTTCGAGGAATTCCCTTCTCAAGCTACTGAAAGCATGGCAACACTCATTCCGATAGCTAGAAGAGACCGTCTTATTTGCAATTTCATGGAGCTTTGAGACCACTGGAACAAACAACAATGATAAAATTATAACCAGTCAAGCTCATATTGAGCCTCGCTCTCTCCCCCTCTCAAGCTCACTCTCTCTCTAACCCATAGAAACTATCTCTCTCTCTAACCCATTCAGACTACTCTCTCTCTAACAGGGACACCATGATATAACCTATTGAAACCACGTCTCTCTCTCAACTTGTGGGAGTAACAATGGTGGCCATGACTCTGTTTCTAGATAACAATGCCCTAAACGATGTAGAGCTATGGGCCGTTATAGACTCAGCAGTTGTTTCTCACTCCGGCTCTAAATCAAACCAGAGCAAACCTTGGCTCTGATGGACAATCCCACCAATCACCATAATCTTACTCCCAAAACCCGCACTATACCTTCAATCTCATATCGATACCGAACACCTGAGGCCAAAGGCTCAAGGAACTCTAGATTCAACTACACAGCGGAAGAAGATCCGAGAGAAGGTGAGGTGTTGCAGGAGCAGTTGATTCCTCATCGGCCTCACAAGATGTTGAGATCTGATGCCTATGAAGGGTTTCAGAGCCCTGGGTCTTTCAATGGAGGAACCCAAGCGATTTTACGGTGGCAAAGACTCTGTGATCTACGTCTCTAGAGAGCTTAGCAGGGAGGGGGAGGAGAGAGAAAGGGCGGGCAAAAGGCTCGCGTTTTGAACGGGTGAGATAAGGCCGCGCTTTCATCTAAAAAAATTCAAGTTTGACAAAAAAAAAAAAATTTATTGTAATTTTTGTCTTGATATTGTAGAATTTTTTATTTCAATTTAAAAATATTACAATTTTTTGTTGTTGTCAAAATGGAACAAATATATTTTACAAGATTTTCGGATTACAATCCAAAAATATTACAATTTTAAATACATCCAAACTGACCTTTAAGAATTTTTCAAACCAAAAATACTAACATTCCATTCTACTCTCTCTCTCTCTCTCCCTATTACTTTTAAAGGAAATTCTTTCATGCGACAGGGACCGCACCTCAACATTTGGCGGTCCTTGATGTATAAAGCATCCATCTTAAAGACAGATGTAAATAAGTGATCTATCTAAAACCAATTGAAACTAACGGCCTAATTGTTTTCTTAATAGAATTATTATTTATAATTTTATAAATTTATTTATTTATTCATATCCGTTATCTCCGTATTAGAGATTACGTGTTCTTAAAAATTAAGTTAAAAAATCCATTTAAAAAATAGAGGTCACTCATTTCTACATGTGGTGTCTTACTTTTTAATGCCACCCATGAAACACGTTGAGATGGGGATGTGTACGTGAAGCACAAGGCTAGGAAGAGAGAAGGATGCCAACTCACTTGGGACCCACCAAATTGTGGAAAAGTTCGAGTGACGAAAACGGACATGAAGACAGAAAATAATTGGGTTAAAAGAAGGTGGTCCCTGGATACCACAAAGGCAAAGTGGACCAACAAGGAATAAGGGTAAATGAAAATTGTTCCAACTGCCAGCCCTACTCTTCCGCTTAATCTTAAGGATGGTTCGAGATGGTCCCAAATATCTTAGTGGAATTCATGGCTCCACGTGTCAAATGGGTTGTGATGCGGAAAATATGTTGGTGATCCCGCTGGAATATACTTTCCACTTACTTGAGCCAAATAAATAATTGGAAGATTTATATATACATATAAAAGTCAAAATTTTGAGATCTAAGGATCAAATAGTTGTTTTTTGAAATAAAATAATTTTTTTTGAGTTTTTAAATACTTTTTGATCAACCATGCAAACTTCGGGCAGTTTCTATTGAAGTTATTTATTTGCAGCACTTGGAAAGTTTGAAAGTGTTTTTTTTTTTTGCCTTTTCATTTGGCCTTTTTTTGGAGATTGATCGCTAGGCTAAGGAGGTTAGACCCCTAAAATTTGAGGTCCTAAAAGCATTCCTAGTTTGAAAGCCAATGGACAGTACGATCCCATGGGAGTAAGGAACTTTTTCACAAATATATGGTTTGAGTGGTCCATGTTTTTTCTTGTGGTGGACGTTATATGTATGGTACGTTGCATGTCATGCTCCTTCCTAAAACCCATTCTCCATGTTCACACGGTGGTATGTGAGTCACACGCACGTTTTGTCGTGGTCCGCGTTTTCAGGTCACTGCTGGGCATGAGCACTCGAATATCACGTACCCAACTTTCTTTCTGCATCTATCTGTTAATATTAATACCCATTCACTTTTGACCCAACTTTGTACAAACGAGAAAAGCAGGCAAATCGAATTCACTAGCAAAATTATAATGGACTTTCAGTTTTTTTCCAAAATGCCATGTCGTTCAAGGATACCATCTTTAGACCAACTTTTTTTTTTTCTTCAAGTTTTCTTCTTTGTGTCCTACGTTTTAAGACGGTTGACGATTGGTCCAAGGTCCCCATTCTCTGACTGCTCATATTATAAGCGGTTTGAGGATGGAGATCTTCAACTATTTACTTAAGCTCAATCGAGTCGGTAGTTAAAAGTCCCCATCCTCAGACTACCCACATTGTGGTGTTCAATCATATTATATATTGTCTGAGGATGGAGACTTTGAGCCGCTTGTAATATGGTGAAACATGACAATCTGGGCCGTACGATGATGGAAACATCAGATTGCCTGTAACGTGGTATAAGACTATAATCTTACCCGTTCGAAAATGAGAACCTCATATTGGTCACCAAATGTCATAAAACATAGGATACAACGAATAAAACTAAAAACAAAAATCGGTCCGGGGGATGGTATCGGTATTTTGAATTTTTTTTAAAATCGATGGGTAATTTTTGAATCAATTCGAGTCATTTTGTATTTTGCGAAATTTGTTTTGTATACACGTGATTTTCGAAATATTTTGGGTATTTCAGTGGGGAAGACGGGTCCCACCCGTTTTCTCTGTTTTCATGCACCGAACCCCTATAAATACGCAATCTTATGCATCATTCCTAGTGTCAAAAAAGAGAGAGAGAGAGATCGTCTCTGGAGTCTTAAGTTTTAGAAAGAGATTGTCTTTGGAGGTTAAGTTCTAGAGAGAGAGAGATTGTCTTTAGAGTAATGGAGGAGTGTATTGAAGGTTTGGTTAGAGAGATGAAAGGAATGATGGTTGATATGGATGTTTATTCTTGTGTTTTTTCATCTGCTTATGATACTGCATGTCTTGCCATGCTCCCCAGTGAAAAGAGTTCCAAAGGCTCCATGTTTCCTAAGTGTTTACAATGGATTATTGAGAATCAAAGGGTAGGGGGCTTTTGGGGAGAGGGATATGAGTACAACTCACCCACCATTGAGTCCCTTCCTTCTACATTTGCATGCATAATTGCCCTCAAGAGTTGGAATGTTGGGCATGAATGCATAGAGAAAGGTATGCATCAATGCTTTCCTCATGTTTGGTTCTATAAGAAATTTTTTTTTATGTATATATTTTCACATGAAAGATTTCTCACTAATTGACTGTCAATTGGAATGAAAAAGTGCATTGGGATCGATCAGTGTGAAAAAACCTCACACCTAATCATATGGGGGAGTTCTTTAATGTGAAAATTACAATTTTGGCTTCAGCAAACTTTCATATCGATCGTCTAGACTTTGATCATTATGGCTATACAAAAAAAAAGATTAAACCCTAAAAATAACATCTATTGTAATACATTATCTAGACCGTCCAAAAATAAGTGTTCATGGATCAATAAGACGTATTATTTTTTTAGCTTCAAAGTTCATAGTCACTGAAGTGCTTTCCGAACAAAGATTCCAAGTGAGACTTCACTTTATTTTCATAAAGCCTAGGCCTCATAAAAACTTCATATTTTTCTTCAAACATTGCATTTGATATGTGGACAGTCTTTCTCTTTTTGGTTACCCCGGCTCCACGTTACTCACATTAGTATACATCCAACCTACATTCTACTTCAAGCTACCCCACTTTTCAAAGTTAGTGCGTAGTACGTCTCTTAGCACCATGTTCGGTGTCCCACTCGGGAATTTTTTTTAAAAAAAAACTCATAATTTTTTTTAAAAGAAAATTCATAATTTTTTTTTAATTATTTGTTATATGTTTTTTTACATATTTTTATAATTTTGAAAAATATTGGAAAGTGTTTTGGCCATAAATATTTATTTTTATATTTTTCTATATTTTTAGATTATTTCAAAAATATCTCTTATCACAAGTTGATTTTTTACTATTTTTTATCCTCATTTTGATTTGTTTTCTTAATTTTACTTTAGATATGAATTTCCTATTGTTTGGATGTTTTTGTATTTTTTTATAATTTTTTACCCTTTTTTTTAGCAATATAGTATTCGGCACTATTCAGGTTGAATTGCTCGGACTTGGGCTAAGTACTTGAATCGCACATGGGCCGAATACTCGCCCTGTGCGTTTCAACACTTTTTGCATGTTTGGATGTTTTTGTATTTTCTTATAATTTTTTACCCTTTTTTTTAGCAATATAGTATTCGGCACTATTCAGGTTGAATTGCTCGGACTTGGGCTAAGTACTTGAATCGCACATGGGCCGAATACTCGCCCAGTGCGTTTCAACACTTTTTGCATGCATATCAATGCTAGAGCTTTACATATTTTTCGACCAGTAGTGGTGGTGGTAACATCAGTGAACTAACTCATACATTGTCTTGGTTGTGATCCAATGGGGCAATATCACTAAAGTGGTCAAAAGATTACAAATTACATTTAAGACTATACATTAAATTTTTATATCAATCAGGTACATCCTCAACAAAAATATTAAAAAATTCGAAATTGCCCCTAGTGTTGGAAAGACTGGACAAGTAGAGGCACTATGATAATTATATCTCTAAATAGGCCTTAACCCAATGATAATTAGGGATAAAATTAAATATCCCTAAATACCTAATTATTCTGACTTTCCAACGTTGAGCATGGGCAACTTGCAAATTTTTTACCATTTTTTTAGGACGTACCATATTATTTTAAAAGTATGTCCTTTGTAATTTTTTGACCCCTTCAGTGATATTTTTAGAGTTGTTAACCTTTTTAATTATATTTTCCAAAAAAACTTTTGGTTTCATCTTTGATACACATTGTAATTAATTGTATTAAAATATAATTTTGAGACTTTTAAATCTTAGTTTGATTGTCCATCAAATGAATGTTCCAGAATCAGTCTTAAAGTCGGAATCAGTCTTAAAGTCGGAATAGATTCGGAGCAATGAGCACACTAATTTTTAGAATCTTTTGGGCACAAAACCAATTTTCCCTTTGTTTTCAAATGATTTTCAAGATGAACAAGCATGATCTTAGTATTTTGATTCCAAACAAACCATCTAATAATTTTTTTTAAGCTTAAAACTCAACCCAGATCAACCAAACTAGGAATATTTGACAAAATGTGGCTTGATTTCCATGAATGTTTTTCTTCATTAATAATTTTATTAGCCACTTCTAATACCTTTTATATTCCCTTTAAATTGTTACAAATTTCGAGAGCTCAATCTCCCTTAACTGGCCTAAACTAATATTGGTGCTAATGATTTAAGAATCTTCAACCTAGCTAGGAATCGCCTAATTCGGATTGGATCAGGAGGTGAGCTATTCTGGTTCTAGGGACCCAAACTCACCCCTATTCTCCCTATTTTCTATCTTTTTGGTGTATTTGTTATCTTACACCTTGAATCAGGCGATACCAATCGGAATAACATGATCTGACTCGGTTTCTCAACTCTCACGGGACCGAGTCGGACCCCTATTCCAACTTTTAAATTTGATTGATTGATGCTATTAAAACCATGAACTTTCAGGGCTGGAGTTCATTCATGGGAACATAAACAAGCTCCTACTTGAACAATCTCAACTCTCAGGTGCTCAAAGGTTTACCATCATTCTTCCAGCCATGATTGAGCTAGCAAATAGCAAAGGGTTAGAGATCTTTCCCAAAGGTGTTCCAGACCTAGTTAAATCTGTCTTTAAAGAGAGGGATAATATTCTTCAAAGGTACTCTTAATCTCTTTCACTCTTAATTCCACCATGATTCTTTCAATGTAACTCATGATCACAATAACTCTTTCTAGGGAAGGAAATGCTCAAGCTCTTCAAGCACCACTATTGCATCACCTTGAAGCCCTGCCATTGCATCTCATGGATAGAGAGTTCACAAAGCTGTTAATGGTTGATCTGTTGGAGAATTTAGGGTTGGGAGAATACTTTACTAAGGAAATACAAGAAATGTTAGGTGGTATCTACAAGTAAGTAATGTGTACTCAAACCTTCATAGCAATGTTTAGAAGAGGAAAAATATTAAAAAAGAGGTTATAATATCCCTAAAGGGATCCAAATATTGCATATTACACTTGAGAGAATGCTTTTTAAGTTTCTTTAGCAATAAGATATATCCTCAAAAAATGTCAAAAAATTCCTAAGTCAACTATATTCAGTGTTGGATGCTAGAACAACTAGGGTTACTTTGGTAATTTTACCCCCAAATATGTCTTAATTAAATGACAATTGAGGGTAAAATTATCGATTACCCCCAATTTTCTGGCTTCCCAACACTAGACATTTGAAACTTCTCAACAATTTTTTGAGGATGTACCTAATTAATATAGAAATTCAAAAACATACCTTTAACTGTAATTTTTAACCTTTTGATCTGTTTAGAATATTGGAAGAGGCTTTAAACCCCTTTTCTGATATTTTTTTCCTTTTAAAAATCATCGGGCTGACTGGAGACTCACCTGAGTTGGCCCAAATTCAGAGCAAAAGGCCTAAAAACCCATGGAATCATCTGAGTCCCAGTCGGTCCAAGGAGAATGGGCTTTGGGCTCGGGCTCGGGCATGGGCCCTTGGAGAGTCACAGCCTAGACAGACGTTTTAAACACTAGTTTGTGAATCAAGGAAAAGATACCAATTAAGAAGGGTAATTGGGTTTATGAAAAGTGTTACAAAAAGAGGGTTTTTGTAAGTTTTTCTACTTAATTGCAGGATGTGGATGGAGAAAGGTCAAGGGACAACATGGGAGCAGTTTGAGAAGAAACAAATTTGCATGGACTCCTTAGCCTTCAGACTTCTACGCATGCATGGTTACAATGTGTCTCCAAGTAGGCATTTCTTCTTCTTCTTCTTTGTTGTGTGTGTGTGTTTGTGTAAATGTTTAACTTAATTTTCTCCTCCAACTTCAGTTTAGGACCTTGTGATTTGTGTTGCTTATTTATTATGTAGTATGTGCTTTAATAAACAAGTAGAGCTCATGTAGGGTACTCCTTTATGTTGTTTAAAAATTTGGATCAATGGGGTCAAACTGGTCACCCACGGGTTCAGAGTCGAACCATCCCAGTCATAGACTCAACCAAATTTAGAAAAATAAGCAAAAAAAATATCAAAAGGTAATTTCGAAAGTTAAAATGTTTGGACAAGGTCTAGGAACTTCAAATCATTATAAAAATAATAGTTTATAATAAAAAAATTTCCTAATATGCTTTCTAGGTGCATTAGGCCAAGTCCCAAGTTAGGAAAAAAATGGGAATGGCTCCTAGCCTGTTACAGTTCAACTCAGGGATTGATTTTCAAAAACTGCTTTGCAGGGATACATTATACATTTACTCTTTCTGTCAAAAGAGTTGCTTAACAAGATTTCTTTCAATCCGAAATTTTTGAGATACATTTTAAAATATTCGAATGAGAATTTTGAAATAAGCAAAGAAGGAAAAAGAAAATGGATTTTGACTTCCTAGAACACTTAGACCTAGCCATCTAAAGATTGGATTCTCAACACATTATTTTTCCAAGCATATAAAGAGTTCATAATATAACTTTTTCTGTTCTTTTTTTGAGGTGGGTAGCAATGCTACATTCTCAAATATCGAGTTCCTAAAAATACTCCTAGATAGGATTTTACCCGTGGGAGTGCATGGACAATATGTTCCTGTGACAACATATAATCTTTTTACAACAATTAAACAGCATTATGATCCTTAATAAATAAAAAATAAAAAAATAAAAAAAGAAAGAAAAGAAAACATCTTGATCCATGCATATCACCCCTTGCAATTAATGGAATTCTCATCTATGTGCAGGTAGGTTTTGCTGGTATTTGGACAACATGGAAATTAGATCACATGTGGAAGAGAATTATGAGGAATACTTGAGCTCCATGCTAAGTGTTTACAAGGCATCTCATCTTATGTTTGATAGAGAAATTGAACTTGAAAAGGCTAGGTCCTTCTCCAAAATGCTGTTAGAGAAGGCAATGTCCAATAATATATGGGAAAATTTCAGTACTGTCAACAATCTTCAAGATGAGGTTAGGAGAGTCATTAATTTTCTCTAGATCACCATCATCATCATTTGAGCTTTGTCCAAACTATTTGGGGTTGACTAAACTAATTCTTTTCAGATCAGCTAATCAAAACTCAACTAGTCTTATTCATGCTCCAGTGAGTTCTGACTCGGCAGATTGCCAAGTGTGAAACTAAAACCATTGAAACCGACCGAACTCTGCTGGTTATCAATATTTTATTGTTAATTTTTTAGATAGCTTAGTCTCTAATATACTAGGCCAAGTCTGAGCTTCCCGACAGGGGCTTGGACCCTAGTGGGTCAAGAAATGATTCCTTCTCTTAAAACACACTATTAGTTTCACATAGATTAAATAAATGGGGGGGGTTTATATAAGGCGTTGACCATAAATAATTAGAGTAATGCGTACCTCCAAACCCTGCCGAAAGATACAGTTCTCGCACAAGAAGCCCTATGATAGCCTGAAAAATATATTTATGCTCCTAATTATGACATTCAAAGTTCCAAAAAATGGTGTAAATCGAGTAGATATATAAATACTTAAAATTATAGAAAATGGACGATCTAGATATCGTATTACAATATGCAGTATTTTTAAGACTTGAAATCTTTTTATTTATTTATTTATTTTGTTAAATTCATATATCTCGAGGTTGATATGATAACAGGAGGGCTTTACAGCCTCATAACAGTTTTTAAGGTGGACCGTACTTTTGTAGTACAAGGTTGATGGCCTTATATAAGCATTTTCCTTAAAGTGTAGCCTCCAAGACGTCTTTTCTATAGGAATGCACAGATTAGTAGTGCCATTTATACGTATTATTTGGGTTAGGTGGATTGAGGCTCAAAAATTCCAAGCCCGAGTCTCCTGGTTCAACTCAGGCGACTCGATTCAATGAGTCTATGGTTTCTGGACCAGAATTGCCATGCTCCATATTCAATCTGACTTAGCCTTGCTCCATATCCAGTCCAACCCGAGCAACTTCAAGTTATGACATTTTTTTTCCTTTTTTCATCATGATAAATTTTTAATGGGCGAGGTTTGTATAAGGTACCCACCTTGTACTATGCAAGTAAGATGGGCATCTAAATTTTGCCGGAAAATGTATTTTTGGCATTGGAAACTTTAAATGGCTTGAAAATCCATATTCAACCCTAATTCTGAAAGTTAAAATTTCAAAAACTATGAAGATCGAGTAGATCTATAATCATTTGAAAATAAATGGTCCAGATAACTTGTTAGAAAATGCATTATTTTTAAGACTCAAACTTTATTTTTTTTAATATCCATACTTCTCGAAATCAAGATAGTCAATTTAAAGATTTTACAACTTTATAACACTCTTTTCTACATGATTTTTTGAGGGGCATCTTACTTCTATAGTATAAGATTGCCGCTTTACATAAACTCTTTTGCTTTTGTTTTAAAGTACTGGTTAAGCTAATCTGCATGGTTGCATGGCAACATAGATCAAATATGAGCTGAGAGTTCCATGGCTTGCCCGACTTGACCATTTGGTGCACCGGCGGCACATCGAACGATTTGAAGAAGGAGTCATGTTGTGGATGGGAAATGGTTCCTATTTTAGGTAACATTTCATTGGAATTTATATTCTTGGTTGTCTTCGCTAACTAAGGTCTCCTCTCACAATCAAAGAAAAGAGAGAGAAATTGTGTTGAGTAAATCACAATCACAAGAATATTCCACACTTAACTACATGCTTAACTACATGAAGATTTTTTTTATATGAAAATATTGTTTGAAAAACAATTTCACGAGAACCAACGTTCCATGAGATATCACAAGAAAAAAACAAAAACAAAAAAGCGAGGGAGAGAAATTGTATTTACTATTATGGCGTGTTTGTCTTTATAAAAGTATTCTTTAAAATTATGAAAAAGTTATGGGTTTGTTTCACACTTTCTATGAAAAGTTCAAAAACTAATCTTTCAATAAAAGTTCCCATTCTTTTATTAAAAAATGAAAGATTAAATTTTTAGGGGGTAGGAACATAATCTTTCATAACTTTTTTGTTGTATAAATACATGCCATTAGTATTAATATTATGGTATAATATAATATAATATTGCTATGACATAATATTATATAATATAATATTATAATTTATAATATTATATAATATTTATTTTATTAGTATAATTTATATTATATAGTATATATTGGTTATATATTATATTTATATATTTATTATATTAAATAAATATTATATAATATAATAAATAATAATATAAATATTATATGAGTAATTATCCTATGAGACCCTCTTAACCCATGTGTGTAGAATCTCAAATGATCATCATTAAATTTGATACAGATCTCTAAAAAAAGTCAAATCCTACACTTTTCTAGAGATCTGTGTCAAATTTAATGGTGATCCTTTATGGTCCTACACACATAAGTGTGGGAAGGTCATAGGATCACTACTCATATTATATATATAATATATAAATATATTATATTATATGTTATATATAATACAAATATATATTAATAAATGATATAAAATATATTATATTACATATTATACTATGTTATATTTGCTATTAATTTATATTTATATGGTTAATATGTATATGTTATCAAACACAATACCCAAAACTTATTTAAACTTTTCAGAACAAAATATTCAACTTTTCAAAAGATTTAAAAATATTCAAACTTTCCAAAAGATTTAAAAACATTCAACTTTTCAGAAGATATCTTTCAAAAAAACAAGCGTACTCACCATAAAAGAGAGGAGAAACAAAGAGAATGTGCTCACTATTTTCATTTATAGGTTGCCTTCTCGAGCCCACAATATTCTAGAAGAATTGGCTAAAAGAAACTACAGTATGAGACAGTCCATGTACAGGGACGAAATTGAAAAGCTTGAGAAGTAATTCTACATCTTCTCTTTTCCTCTTTGAGGTCCAAGTTTACCTTTGAGTGGGTCCGACTAGCCATCGAATTGATGAAAGGTTTGGTCTAGTCAAAATCGGTTGGATTCTCAATCGAACTGATTTGATCCGATCTTAAAACCTTAAAAAAATATAAATAATAATTTAAAATACATAATATATCAGACTGGTTTTGATAAGGTGCTCATGTTAATTTCTTTGAATAGGTGGGTAAGGAAAAGTGGCATCCAAGACCTAGGGTTTGCTCGACAAAAAACAACATATTGCTTCTTTGCCTCAGCTGCTGCAATCTGTGAGCCGAACATGTCCTTGGCACGAATGTCCTCAGCCAAGAGTGGAATCCTTGTCACAGTGATTGATGATTTCTTTGACATTCATGGATCAATGGATGAATTACAGAGTTTCACAGATGCAATTGAAAGGTGCCATGCATTCATAACTTTGTTCTTATAGAATATATAGACTGAAGGCTTTATCTGTATATGTGTTACATGGACATGGACACAGGTGCCTCGTCTAGTACATATGTTGAGTGTCCAGTATACTGACCTAAAAACCTGGCCATGATACGTGCACACATACGCACACATTTAAATGTAAGAGAAGATAATTAAAATATAACAAATGTCAAACTTGAAAATATAATGTATTTTATGCTAAAAAAGATAAAAAGACCTAGAACATTTCTTTCTATTTTTAGTTTTTTTTTTTTTTCAAAATAATGCTTTTAAAACCGTATCTATGATACGAATAATATTTTGCTTAATATTGTCAATAGTTTGGTAATTGCGTTAGTAGATATCAATATTTTCCTAGTACAATTTACATTTCAGAAAATGCAAAAAAATTTAAATTTAAAATAATGTTGTATAAAGACTCTAGCATTTGTTTGCGTAAAATTATTTTCTTCTATTAAGCCATTTTTTAAATTATATAGGGCCTCCATTAAATAACTAATTGTAGTTATCTGAATGCACTCTACCATGTGCCCTTAGTTGCAAAAAAATAGATGCTGACACATTTATATAAGTGCCAATATGTACCATAATTCGATAAACTCACCCAGCACATACACAAATACTTGTCGACATGCAATGCAAGAGGGAAAATGGAGCATATATAACATTATTCTATATCCAAATTTTAACTGTTTTAAAAAAAATTATTTTTTGTCAAAGAGGGATTGTTTACTATAAATTTGTTTATCTTGAATACAAGAATGTCACAATCACTTCCAATCAACTGATGTGAAATTAGGGGACTAGGGATATGTCACTAAGTTTGAGAAAAGTTCACTTGAAATTTAAGCTCAACCTAAAGTATTTCGACCGTTCAATTTCCCATCTAATAGCTAAGCGCGATTGTGACCTATTTATACCAAAAATAGTGATCTTCTTGCATATATTTTTGTCACAATTGGTGGTTCATTTAGTTATTTTAAAGCCTGGGACAATCTAGGCTAGATAAGAGACCATCTAGATATTGCCAAATGATTATATGCTCCCTCTATTCTCTTCCTCAGGTAAAACGTTATCTAGGAATGTTTTTAGAACCCAAAATTTTGGGGATGTACCCTTCTCAAGGCAACCTCAAGTATATAAATTATAACAAATGTTATATGCACTCTATGTATGCTTGAGAAATATTGATTACATCTTTTTTCAGTCCAAAATCCATAAGAAACAAAAAGGAAAAGAAAAAATAAAGAAAATGGTTCTTGGGTACTGTTTTATCAAACAAATGTACAGTTTTAATCCTTAAGAAAAGGGAAGGAAGCATGGATTACTAAGCTTAGTCCTCTATTGACTTGTAGATGGAATGGAGGAGGCCTAACGGCACATGCCAAGGTTCTCTTTTGTGCACTAGATGACCATATAAACACCATTGCCAAGCAAGCCTTTCATCAGCAGGCGCGAGACATAACGGACCATCTTAGACAAATAGTAAGCTCCTTCTATCCGTCGTAACGGTGATAAAATTTCCTTTTTTCTGATTTGAATTACCAATAATCGCGTGATGCAATGCAGTGGTATAAAGCCATTAAAGCATGGCTTAAAGAAGCTGAGTGGATCAGGAATAGTTATATCCCCTCCGTAGAGGAATATAGAGAAGTTGCAATGGAATCAATTGGGCTAGAACAGATCGTTCTCCCTGGTGTTTATTTGGTTGGTCTGGAAATATCAAATGAAATAATCCACCATGATCATCATAAGAAGATTCTAGAACTAGTCACGCTTTCTACGCGCCTCTTGAACGACATGCAAAGCTATGAGGTACTCAATTTCTAAGTTTTTTACTTGAAATTTTCATTCAACTGGAAAAGTAAAAGATCGCCGCTTGGATTACTAAAAAACTTCGAGGTGTATACAAGTAATGGAACTGATGTTTCTTTGTTACATAATTTCAATTTCAGAGGGAAATCAAGGAGTGCAAACCCAACTTTGTTTCCTTGCTTTTGAGACAAAATCGAAGACAAACAACCCAAGATGTAATTGACAACTTGAAGAAGATTTTGGATCAGAAGGAAAGAAGGCTATTGGAGAAACTTTTGATTGAGGAAGAAAATAGTTTGCCAAGCCCATGTAGAAAGATTCATCTTAGAATTCTCAAAATATTCCAAATGTTCTACAATGGAACCAATGTCTTTGATTCTCCGACGCAACTTCTAGGCGACATCAACAAAGCCATATACAAGGATATTACTTCAGGATGTGCATCAGCCACTCAAATACAACCCATGTGTGAGCCGATTTGTGGTTCGTGCAAATAGAATGATCGCTCATAGGTGATTTTGTGCTCCCAATTGCTAGAGACTTGCCATTCAAAGCTAAAATCCCTCTGTATTTGGTATATGTAACAAGAGTCCCTCGACCCTTAGGAACTTAGCCATAAGAGCCACTTGGTTTTTGAAAAAATGGAGGTCGTAGGAGAGTGTAGCTGCAAACTAGGGTCTTTATGTAATTGATCTCTTTAGGCCATGAGAGTTTTTATGAAGCAAGCTCAAAACAAATTTGTAATTGAGCCTTAGATGAAATATCACCCATTTGACTAGGAATCATCCAAGTTGGATCGGTATTGGGAGGTGGGGGATTCCAGTTCGAGAAACCTTGGAACCATCTTGATTCTCCATCTTTTATTTTTTTTAATTTCTTTGTTATGTCTCCCAATCAGACTCGAGATTCACCTGATTCAGACCAAGAAGATTGGAGCGTTGGCTCAGGACACTTTCCAATTTTCTAATCACTAGCTTGATGGGATTGGCACTCCATTTTACTTGTAGAATATATTAAATAATGGGAAAAAAGTACAAGAAATTAATTGAGAAATCCTTGATATGATATTTATCTGTCTTTATTTTGTTTTCAATTTGAGATTAAGATGTAAGTTATAGATGGTTGTGCTGTATATATAGGTAAAAAGAGACTAGGCCCATTCCGGATCGTCAAGATGTGTGTGAGTTATGGACCACCAAAACCTCCTTGAGGCGAACATGGTCTTAAAAGAAGAGTAAATGCCTGCATGGCAAAGGGTCGAGTGGTAACAACGGACCGGGCCTAGGCCGGGCCAACCTTGACTCGATCCCTACGCATAACCTTATAGGGTCATCCCGTCCTACACTAGGCCGGAGGCCTGGCCCTAGACTTGAATAAAAAAAGAGAGAAAAAAAAAAACATGGGGATCGGCCCAGCCCTATCATGGCCTTCGCCTAATCCCGACCTACCTCTCTCCTCAGGCCGTAGCATCCAAGCCTTTAGGCCATATTTTGTGGCGTAAACCCTAGTTTTTCGGGATCAGAGTAGGCCAGGTTCCTTGGGCCATTGCCAAGACTGAAAAATGTTGGAAGGATATAAGGGAAAACATTTGATCCTTAGGCCTTTAGGCCATATTTTGTGACCCAAACCCTAGTTTTTCAAGTTTTTCAGGATCGCCCTATGCCAAGATTGAAAAATGCTCTACTTATTTATAACATGGAAAGATATAAGGGAAAACATTTGATCCTTGAAAGACCACACAAGAACAGTATTCCCTACTCTATTTTAGGGCATTGGAGCAGTTGTTTTGTTGGTCCAAACATCATCTTAGCTTCTAGGAAGAAAATTGAAAAAAAAAAAAGAAGAAAAAAACTATAGAACCCCTAGAGAATGGTGTTCCTGATTGGTCATCCATTTTAGGAAAGAAAACATATTGTTAGAATGAGGCTCGAGGAGGCACTAAACGTCACTAGATAAAAAATACTCTCGGATTTTTTTTTACATGTCAATTCTTTGTATTTTTTATTGTTTTCCATGATGGCCTCTGGTTGAAACTTAGAATTCCGATCCCCTTTTTTGCTCGCTTTTTTTTCCCCTAGTTTTCGGGTCGGAAATCCATGCTGTCCACCGAAATTTTTTGCATAACGAAAAACTTACACTTTTTTTTTTTGAATAATGGATCCATTTCTAGATATAGTAGAAATTTTTTAAATTTAGGTTTGGATTTTGAATTGGAAAAAGGCATAAATAGAAAATGCAAGCAAAAGAAAAATAAAAAAATGATTAGAGAAAAACGGTGAAGGAATTTTCTTTTTTTTTTACATTTTGATCTTTATAAGTAAATATTATTTAGGAAAATTTAGAAATAAAAAATATAAAAAAAAAGAAGAAAAAGAGAGAAAGAAATTGTAGTTTCTATTACATATTATATAAACATAAAAAATATTATTATTTCTATTAATGGTAATAATAGTATATAATACATTTGGTGTTAAATATTACTCTTATCAAATATAAGACTTTAATAAATAATTTATTTTCTACTTTGGTATGAACGTCACTTATCAAATAACTCTAATTACATATTATATTTTTTATTGATATGAATTATATTTATGGTAATTAATATATTTCCTATTAGATATTAATAGACATCCTAAAATATGTAGAATCCATTTATCAAAGGTAAATCCAAAAAAATTAAGAAAATATATAAGAAATATGTTTGGTGGACAATAAAATTTAAACGTAAAGGGAAAAAAACGTCTTCACAACAAATATTTTGCTATTTTTCAATTTACGTTTGGAATTTGGTAATTGGGAAAATTAAATTTATAAAATATAAAAATATAGAAAGTTTTAAAGAAAAATAAAAAAGGAAATCTCTTTTTATTTTATCATTTTATTAATAAGTTATATAATATTTTTACTTTTAAAACAGTTATATTTTGCCAATATACCATAATCTTCAAATGATTGTCTTAACACTACAAAAATCTCCAAATGATCATGTCAACCTCGAAATATATGGATATTAAAAAATTTATTTCAAGTTCCGAAAATAGTAAATCTTGTATGGTATTACTTTAAATGTCCATTTTCAAAATTTTCAAATGTTTATAAAACTACTTGATTTCACTAGTTTTGGAAATTTAAATTTCATGAGTGGCGTTGAAAAAAAAAAAAAAAAACAGCAATCAACATACATCAGAACTACAATTTGAAAAAATCAAAGGCGATCAAACCACTTATTTTCTATATGTCAAAAAATCATATTACAATTTGAAAAATATATTACATAAACATAGAGACAAACATCATACCACTCTCTTTTCTGAAAAATATTTTTGAGCTAAAAAATCCTTGTGAGATATCAATAAAGAAATGAACTTAAGAGAGAGATAAATAAATTGTTTTCTCATAAGATAAGGTGGGGCATGATAGGCTTTTGGTTTGGGGTTTGATGGTTTATGATGATAGATGATGAAAGAGGTTTTTTTTGAAAAAGATAAGGGTTTATGATGAGAGATGATGAAATATCTTTTTTTTTAGTAGGGAGAGATTGAGAGAGAGATTAAGTGCCGATTGGATACGTGGAAATCTATTACGTGACAATAGATTACAAGGAAATATGATATTTATACTGTTTGGGGTACATTTTAATAGTAATGAAATAGAAAGACAATATCCGATATTACCTTTTTCAAAAATCACGAAATCCATTGAACACAATCAGAGGTGAAAAATCTATTATGAAGTTAACGGCTAATGTTTGAAGTAATCTTTAGAAATCTCCTTATCCCCGCTTAAAAAAACGTTTTTACTCTCTTAAATATACATTATATTGTATAATTATTAAGGTCAGCAGAAAGTGAAAGTAAGGGATATGAAAAGGGGAATCTAAATTGATTTGACCAGGATAATTTTCTACCACAATCATAATAAAAAAAAATTTACATCCATCTATCCTCAATTTGGTTGTAGCCCCTTTTATATAAAAACAAAAATTGGTAAGTGAAAGTAAGGTAAAATCAAAATTGATTTGAACAGTTGTAGAACTTGATGATACACAATTTTCTGTTTCAATCATAATAAAAAATTGTTTACATCCCTCTATTCCCAATTTAGGGTGTAGCCCGCCATCAGCTCTAGTATAAAAACAAAAATAATAAAAATAATAATTGATAATCGATGAAAAATTACATAACACAATCATAATAAAAAATTTCCACACAATATAATCCTATCAGTAAAAGCGCAATTAAAATAAGATGCATCTTTAGTCTCCTCCAATGCTTCAAAATTTTCCCATGCAATTCCCAAACCTTTTAGTTTACTAATCAAACTTGGACCCATTTTTAAACTTGTACCATAAATATTTTGATTTTGGTATCATAAATTTATTACTTATTTGAAATTATATATAGAAAGATCTATAAAAAATAAATAAAAATAAGGCTTATCACAATAAAATCATGTTATTCTAATCATATTATTCCAATGACTTATCATGTTGAAACCAAAATCTAATCATGTTAGGCAAACATAACCATATTTTTCATATTTGGATGGTAATGCATTTCTCATATTTCTTCCATACATAGCCAAACAATAGCAATGTATTTCTCAGGTTGCATTTAAATACTACTCAAATAGTGGCAATCAATGGTTTAAAAAGCGGATCGGTGACCTTGATCGAGCACCTCAAAAATTGATCTGGATTGGCGAATCGGCGAATTAGATCGGGAATCGGCTGAATCGGTCAAATTAAAGCTTCAAAAAAATCCAAAAATTTATTAAAATTCATTATAAATATTATTTTTTAGGAATTCAATAAGAAATGTGGGTACTCCATTAAGAATTTTCATTTCTTTGCATGAATATGCGAATATTGATATGTTATTTCCCTGCATGAACTATTATTTACCATTTAATTTACATCACACAAAAGGATAAATATAGAATTATCATGGAATAAGTATATTAACATACATGGACTACAATAAAGCATACAATTAATAACATACGATCTAAAAATAAAATGACAGAGGACGTAGTTCTTCTTCTTGGTCACGCTGGTGCCATTGATTGAATTCGTTTGACAATTCATTGATTCTATCTAAAAATGAATCATCGATATTAGCAGGCGTCTAACTATACCCAAATCCCTGAGTGTTAGTGTTCTGTTGTGTTTCCCAATCCAAAATCCCCAAAGCTTGTCTATCCTTCATGCTCACCTACACTGTCGTGTTTATCCCTACCCTGTTGCTATTGTGACTCGATATGTGAATAATATGGCTGGGATAGGGTGGCATCAAAATCATCATCTCTCTCATTTTCTCTTAGACCCCCTTCCCACTCTCCCTCATTAGGTGCAATATCACCGACATCTCCGACGAATTGTAGATACATTGGCTGGCTGCTTCATCTTTCATGCTGCTCATCACCTTCTTCAAGATCTTCCTCATCGATAGCCTCAAGGAATGCTCTCTTGTGCAACACTGGCTCCGCCTCTTCTACTACCTATTGGTCTGCTGTGTCTGTGACAAATATTGTGTCTAAGTCTATCGGCCCATAGTTTTCATGCTTCCTTCTTATTTATCCCTCTCGGAGTTTAAGTTATAATGAACGTAGACTAGTTTATGAAACTTCTCCAAAGCGAGTCGATTCCTCCTAATAGTGTGCAACTATTGGAACATACTCAAGTTGCGCTCACAGCCAGTAACAGAACATGTTTGGGAGAGCACCTTGATTGCTATCCTCTTTAGGTGAGGTGCATCAGTACCATATATCTCCCACCATTCAGCTGGATTAAAATGCAAAAAGCATTGTAAGGCCAAGAACAATTCATAAGATTAAATATATGAATAAACAAAATATTAGCTAGGGGATAACCTGGATCCATCTTAGTTCGAGAATTCTTGACAAGTCTAGTTCCGAAGGATCCTATAGCATCCTTATACATAGCAAGCTAAAACAAATATATTTCGTTTTAGTGCATTATTCCTCACAAGTATAACAACTCAATGAAGTTCTTAC